TACCGCCCACCATTTCTTACCCTCGTTACAATTGATGCTTAAATTCATTTATCTCTTCTCTATGTTGTGATTTGCTTTTGAATATGAATACAAACATGTTTAATGTTTACCATTTTTTATTACTCTGTACTTTCAGGTACAGACAATAACTAGTAATTAAATATAACTAATGAGAATATTTTTTACAATGGATAACAAAATGGACTTGATATTAAATAAGTTTCATTGATGAACTTATTACCAAATAAGTTCACAAATGAAAACTAGCCTCCAAATTTCTAAAAAATGTGTTTTCGAATTCAATCCATTTAACTGGTGAATTTCAAAGAAATTTAGTCCAATTCAAATCCATTTTACAATTAGGCATCCGGTCTGATAGTTTAGTCCAATACATTAAACTTGTATCTCGGCAAAATCTCATCAAAGAATAACAATATCCTCCAATTATAATATATTTAAACAAAATAATTTATTCTCATGTCTGAAATACTTATAATTCATGATGAGCCCAAGTTTTATTGAGTCGGACTCAATTAATCAAGTAAGCTCAAATCAACTAAAAGGCAAGTCAAACTCAATTCGTGAATTCAATCCAATTCAAAGTTCAAGGAATCCAAAAATAATTAGAGTACGTGGAAAGTAATTATCAGGATACTCACTTTTGAAAATCAATACAACCTCTTATAGCATTTACCTTTTGTAGTTATCCAAAAAATTAGTACATTTGTCTTTACATCACCGCCTTAACTAAGAATCTGTGTCTATAAATTGTGAGGTCTCTCTATATGAGAGGGCACCTCTGGATCTATTTCTACATCTCTTTACACACGCTATACATAGTTTTTCTCTTTCCTAACTATTATATCTCTCCTAGAGCTAACAATTGTTCTCTCTCGTTCACCTTATTTTATCAATAAAGGTCTTTCGGCCACCATTGTCATTTTTTGGAGTGGAATACATTACTCAAATCGAACCACTATATATTTGTGTGTTAACTCGATATTTACATTATTGTTATTAATTGTTCTATTAATTGTCCATTAATTATATTCTATCACACACTTGACTGTTGAACTTGCATAAGCCTATTTTGTGCATCATCCATTCACGTGCTTTAATTTATGATGAAAATTTGAACAAAAATCTAGGTGAAATCTATATTGCTATCAATTTATAACATTGAGCGAGTAAATTAAAATTTTTAATACTCGAGGGTATAAATTGAGAATTAAAATATCTTTTGTGGTATAAAGTGAGATTAAACCCAAATGAAAGTACATGCGTTGGAAAAAAGAAGAAGAGAGGATTGTGAATCAAATGTAGACCGCTCGATCCCTTGGCACACTAGACAGCTGATTAGGCCTCATGTTTAAAAGGTGAGGGTTAATACATCATACAATATCCAGTTAGGGTAGTATTCTTATGATGTAGACAAATCATTTTGTATCATCATACGGCTCACCACGACTAGTCGTATGATTGATCTTTTGACAATTGCATATTTTTTGATGTTGAAAATTAATGCACGGCATAGCCCAATCATAATTAATCTCGTTTGAAGCATAGATATATACGATATTTTTAACCACTCGTCTATGCTTTTCGATGTCTGTTCCCATTTAAGTTGGTATACAAATTATTAGTGGTAGAAATCGTGCGTTCGAATTTTATTTTTGAACTTAAGAATTCTGGCTGATCTAGACTCTTTTCTAGGGTAATCCAGTAGCCTTTACCTCTCAGTGTCCGTGCGGAGCTTCGTCCCACATCGACTGAGAGTCGTCTCCCCCACCCCCTTATAAGCCTGAGCCCCTTAAGAATGAATACCCACGATCAAGTGCTAGTGGATACCCATTCTTAAGGGGCTCAGGCTTATAAGGGGGTGGGGGAGACGACTCTCAGTCGATGTGGGACGAAACTCCGCACAGGTACTGAGAGATAAATGCTACTAGATTGCCCTAAGAAGAGGTCTAGATCAGCCAGAATCCTTGAGTTTAAGGATGAGATCCGAACGCGTAATTTCTACCCCTAACACAAATTATCTCAACTTGAGATAGTTTGGTAAGTGGGTACGAGGACGCTTGGTTAGATATGTTTGGTAAAAATAGTTCAAATGATCCCCAAATTTTATGTTTGGATTAAAAATTCAATTTTGAGTTCAAAAATTAGGCCCGTAATTGACCCGAATATTAAATCCATAATCGTGAGTTTCGTCAAACCTATAAGAGGTGAGTTTGACAAGATAGGTTAAGGGGTTAAGAATGCAAAAGACATTTGTATCTCTTAACATAAATATGAATTTGATTGATCAAAAGTAAAATAGTCATTTATACGACAAAATGATTGTTAATAATTATGATATTATCTATAAGTTTTACATGTGTATATATTGCATACCAAACATGAGTATAGGTTGGATTCAACATTGAATCTCATCTTTGTAAAGAGGGGTTTGAGTTTAGAAAGATTTGAGGAAGCCAATACAAACTCTCCCCAAAAATCTATTCAAACAAACATTTAAGGTTTGATTTAAAGCCAGTTTAATCAATATTTTTATATATTGAAAACGTCCAAATGTTGAGTTCAACAAACTATGATTTAGTGTTTTTATATTAGCAGCCACTCCGATGCACAAAAATAACAATATCCGTCATTTACAGTTACTCGATACCCCCACCCCCAACAATATTGGAAACACATACGCATAAAATGTGCTAATATAATTTTTAAATATAATTAAAGTAGTTGCCAAAAATAATGAAATGTGAGTAATTGACAAAAATGATAAAAATAGTTATCAACCAATTCCACCCTCCCCCTCCTAAGTAGGCAAAAAAGTTTAATTGAAGAAATTCATTTAAGTAATTCAAAATCATAAAAATAGAGTATTTGAAAAAGAAAATTTTCTAAAATCCTTTCTCGTGAAATTTATTTATTATATATGATAATATATATAAGAATAGAAATATATGATTTCACGCTCTTGAAAATAGGAGTCAAACGTGAACTATTATGTGTTCATATTCTACTATAAAATGGAGCGTTCGAAAGAAATAATTTAGACTTGGTGGAGTCCTGCAGGTTCGGGCATACTACAGACCAAGGAAATTCAAAAATTTTCTTGCACTTATAGTCTATAGAGTCTTGAAATGTTACTGTTTAAGATTTATATCAAAGGGCCACATAAAGGATTATCCTATCCACCTACTTATCCATCAGTGGGTTTAATCACGAAAGATACAAATTGGTATAGTCACAATTCACAACTATTCGACGCCAGCATGGAATAATAAATCTTAAATGCACTGGAACCCACCGACCCATTCGCCCTTTAGCCGCCAAACATTGGTATCTGACTATTCCTCACTTAAATTTTAATAGTAAAGCTTTGGATTTTCTACTAAAATCCCACCAAATACCCTCCACCCAAAAAACAGTCCCATTTTTTTTTATTTCCACTAAATATTCACCACTCAATTTTATTTTTTTTAAAAAAAATGAAGATGAATGATAATTTTGTACTCTAAATGTTGTTTAAAATTTTTAATTCACAATTAAAATATTTATATTGCACACTCAATATTATTAAATGTATTTTTTACTTTTTTGCTAACTCCAGAATCTATTTCCGTCAAATTTTGTGTTAAGTGTAATAAGTAAGAAAGGTTATGACATCGTGAGAGCAATTTAAATAGATTAGAATTAATGAGATTATTTGACATTGGAAGGTGAGTTGTATAGTATTGGGAGTCATGCATATATATAATATTTTTGAGTGGGAGAAAAAATTTTATGATGAATTTTGTACTATTGGATTTAAATAAATGAATATTGAATCAACCTTAATCGTTGTTGTACTTTTATAAATTGAGAATTTAACTTTGTAATTGTAATATTAAAATAATTAATTTTTGAGGGTATAAATTAAAAATTGTAATTTTTCTTTTGAGATATAAATTATTATGGGCTAATTTCACTTTGAATCCCAAAAGATATTTTGATTTTTAATTTGTACTTTTAAACATTAAAAATTTAAATTTTAGTTAATTATACCGGAGATCCTCAAAGTATAAAATTTATCTCATTTTTGTCCCTAATATTTCAATTGATTTATTTTTGTTTATGAAGTATTAAATATGTTTCTACATGATCCTTCAAATAGACAACATCCAGATTGCTAACGATTTCTTATCATAAACTTGTTATGTAATACCTAAATACGAACAAAAAATAATTTTAATAACTTTGAAACAAAATTTGGGTACCTCTTGACAAAAAAATGTGTAATATGGATAACTTTGATCAAAGTTTGGTGAATAATTATCAAAATTATTTTTTTGTTCATACTTAAGCATCACGTGACAAGTTTATGATAAAAAATCGTTAATAATTTAGATGTTATCTGTTTAAGGGACCATATAAAAATATATTCAATAATTTAGAGATCAAAATGAGGCAATTAAATATTTTGAACTAAAATAAAACAAATATCATATTTTAAGGACCTCCAATGTAATTAATCCTTTAAATTTATACCTTCAATGTGATGAATTAATAGTAATATAGATATAACCTAGACTGTCTTTTAATTTTTCGTCATAAATTTAAAAAAAAATTAGAAGCAAGTATTTCAGGCATAAGGATGAGGTATGTACATCGCTATAGATCTTCGCCTTAAATCAGTTTGATACCATTTTGTGTATCGAAAATAGGATTTCATTAATCAGATATAGACTAACATTATCATGTGCAACTCACATGATGCACCAAAAATTTGTAAATTTGCAACTCAAGTGATTTAATTTTAGATGGGAAATTGAACGACAGTATGGACGAGATCCATATTGCTACCAATTCATAATATTAAGAGTGAAAATTAAAATTTTTAATATTTAAAAGTATAAATTAAGAATTAAAGTATTTTTGAGGGTATAAAATGAGATTAACCCCAAAAAGAAAAAAAAAAGAAGAGAAAAGAAATAGCATCCATTCCATACACGTAGCAACCACCATATTCCCCCTCGAAAATATTCGTTCCGCCTGAACCAAACGGACTATACTCTTTTGGCCCCACTCCCCGAGACTCAGAATCAGTTGCTTCTTCCCCCTCGAAAATATTCGTGCCGTGCCGCCTGAACCAGACGGACTATACCCTTTTGTATCCCACTCCTCGAGAGTCCAGACTCAGAATCAGCTGTGTTTAGGGGGAGAGAGAAAGAAGGGTGTTAGGGATGGTTTGTTCAGGTCAAATTTTGGCTGCTTCTTATTCACCGACGCCGTCGTTGCCGTACAATTCACGATTTTCGTACTCCAGATTTCTCCAGGGAAGGATCAAATCAAACCTCAAATGGCGATCTATGGCGTCGGAGGCCGATTCGTCTTCTTTTGCGCCTTCGATCGACTCTGATTCAACCGATAAAAAAGCCGATGGGTAGTCACTATCTACAGATTATTGATTTGCGTACATTTTTACGTATACAATAAACTACTGATTTGAAATTCTGCTATTGAAATATAAGTAACTTTCAATTATTTTTGATTTAGCTTTCTCCGCTTCAATTGTGAAATCATTATTTTCACTAATCCTTTTTTTTTTTTTTTGTTGGTTATAGATAAATAAAATATTCATGTATTTAGTTTGTAGTGTTTTCTCTAGGGTTACAAGTGAATGAAATCTTAAAGTGTTTTAAAAGAGTGATTTTCTTGATTTATGCAGCTTCTGTATCATTGAAGGACCTGAAACAGAGCAGGACTTCGCCAAAATGGAGTTGCTAGAAATTCAAGATAATATTCGAAGTCGTCGGAATAAAATCTTTTTGCATATGGAGGAGGTGAGCTCCTGGGATAGTATATTTGTTTAAATGCAGCTGTGTTAGTTTGTCCGTTTTACCTCGCAATTCTTGTATTAGTGTGCTTAGTATCTTCAATTTCATTGTTAACTTTAGTGTGCTTAATTCGTCTTTTTCCATCTTGTTATATCCGGCACCACTTCTATTTTTTTATAGAACGTAGGGATCTCATATAGTTATTTAGTCGTTCATGCTTTATGGCATCATGTTGATGATGTTTGTATGCTTGAATTTTATAGGTTCGCCGGTTGAGGATACAACAGAGAATTAAGAGTGCTGAGCTTGGAATCATAAAGGAGGAACAAGAGAATGAACTTCCTAATTTCCCATCATTCATTCCATTTTTGCCACCGTTGGTAAGCTTTGTAGTATCTATCAACTGTCTTTGTCTTTATTTTTTCATCTGTTATGTGTTAAAATGATTTTTCCGATGGTGACTAATATACATTTCATGCAGAGCTCAGCAAATCTTAAGCAATATTATGCCAGTTGTTTCTCTCTCATAGCTGGGATTATTGTTTTTGGCGGTCTTCTAGCACCTACTGTAAGTTTTTTTACACTTAACTATGAGAATTGTTGAGCTAAATTATGAGAAATTAAGGCGTGTTCCAATTTTTAACCCCAGCCTGACTATAGGTGTATGTCAATGTACAAGAATGTCGGTCTTTTTTGTAACGCATGCATAGTTTCATAACAATGTCTTTTAAACGATAATACCTTGTGATTCAACCAATACATTCCAATTAGATATTATTTAATTGATTTTCGTCTTGTTATCAAGATGGCTGAGTGTTTTCAAACTTATTCAAGAAAGATGAATGTTTTCAAACTGATAAATGTTTTTCCATGCATTTTCTTGGATCCATTTCTCATGTCTGAAGGTCAATGCAGTTTCCTGTTGCTTAGATGTTACTTAATACGTGAAGCCCATGGTTATAGTTTACATTGAGAAGACGAGCAAAATAATGTTCTGATCTAGAAGAAGGCCTCAAGGCTGCAAGTGACAGTTGAGAAGATTCTATGCAAATGAGCATCATGAACTGAGCAAGATAGGCCACTAACCATTGGTTGCTGTCATCGATATTTTTTATTTCTTCCATGTACCCTTTTTTGTAGAATAAATGCAAATGAGGACCATAAGTGAATTAAAAATTAAAATTTCATGATGAAATCAATGTATCCTAGTGAGATTCAGATCTACTGCTGAGTAAGTTTACTGAAAAATGAGGATCAGTTTCACTAGTGTTGGAAATATACAAATGAGTCCAGTGGCATATCATGCATTTCCCGTATTTTTAACAGGGTTTGTACTTTCCTTAGAAGATAGATTGACATGATGCTGACTGTAGCACTTAAACTGGGTGAATTTGTCAGAGATCTCTAAGTTGGATTGTTTTCATCAACATGACTGTAGCTGGTAATATGCTAGATGGCTTAGAGTCTGAATAAGGGAAGAATCAGTGGAATATTGATGCAGTTCCAGACAAGATGGAAGGAAGCTGGTTAAGATAGTGTGGTCATTTAGAAGGAAGGCAATATTGTTCAGGTTGAAGGTGTCCCAACTGTATAGGACCAGAGAAGATATGGGCTTAGATAGCACAATAAGAACTCACTGAAGTCTACTTTTATCCAAAAGATGACCTAGGAAGCTTTGTTGTGTTCTCTTTGCTTGAAAGCAGATTACGTGTCTATAAAAAGCAAAGGATAATGTCATACATATGATATTGCCTTCCACTACTGTACTGCAAAAGAAGCGACAAGATTATGTACAAAGGTTTTCTGCAGATGTCCCTTAAATTATGTGTGGTTCACTACATTGGTGCCCTTCTGTTCTAAGTCCAAAAGAGTGTGTTTTTAATGTTGATTTGAATTTTCGTGACACGTGGCTAAGTGCAAAAGTAGGAAAAATCAAAACAATTTTTGGAACTTGGAAGCCTATTAACTAGAAAGAATACAATAGTGATAAAGGCGGAACTGCTTCTGATATAGTTAGTGACAGTTGTTAGTTATAGGAAGGGTGGAATATTGTTTGGTGTGTTTCTCTATTCATGAATTTGGATCACCGTTAGAATGTAGCTGAAGATGATCTTTGGCTATGTAGTTGATGAATAGGTCTCATATTACATTGCCATGCTAATTTGAACTGCTTATATCTTCACCCCTTGTACCCTTCCTCTGTAAATTGTAATAAAATCAGGGTCAAGCTAATGAATAAAAACCTGTAATGTTGGAAGAACAGATACTCAAGTTTTACAATGTAGCAACTTTCAGCAGTTTTTTTTGTCTTCCGTTTTGAATAGTTGAATCACTGTTACAAGAATTGGTGATGTCTATCAGATTCTTTGTGTTATAACAATTTGAAATTATGATGGCTCTTACAATGATATGAAGCCCATCTAGTTTCTTACCCTGCACTTTCTTTTTGATTTGTTCTTTCAGCTGGAGCTAAAACTGGGACTAGGAGGCACATCATATGAAGATTTTATCCGTAACATGCATCTGCCCATGCAGTTGAGGTATGCGTGATTGTGGGGTGTTATTACTTCATTTCCCTTTGTTTTTAGTTCCTTCCTTTTTTTTAAAGAAAATCTGATTTGCCTTTTTTTTGACTTGGACAATGCATATTGACTAGCTTGTTGTTTCTGCATTTGGTTCCTTCAGACTTCCTGGGTAGGTTGAATGTTTTTTTGAGAAATTGAAAGGAAAGATTCTGTGGAAGGTTGTTCACGAGATATTGAACTTGGAAAAAATCAGTAATAATTCATATGTGAATCAAATAGAGAACTTAAACTAGGCATCTCTTAAATGCTTTAAGATTGCTGTTCTCCAGAACCAAATTGGTACGATATATTTAAGATAAATGGAACTATATGAGCTGTTGCCTCGTGTAGAAGTAAAGAAGTTTTGACTTCTGTTAGGTTCATTTCCATCTACAAATGTAGCATGACTGGCATTGAATCCATTCTAAAGGATTCTTCTGTGCTTTAAGGTTGATGGAAGCATTTAAAATTGTACCGATTTGCATAGGATGTTATGCATTTCGGTAGAAAATGGTTTCTTCAAGATTCAGGACCTAACAAGCATTCAATACATTTGAAGATGTCTGGTGGCTACTTGATTGTCAAACATCAATGGGCTTCCTAACTTTTTGGGGATGCTAGGGTAGGACTCCTGAACTTTCATGTTACTTTTGACAATACTTTTTCAAGATATATCCCATAAGATATCTATAAATTTCAGTGCTTTGATTCTGTCAACCTTCTTTCTCAGTGGAACATGAAAAGAGTGTTTTTCATCCATTTTGCTATCATAGATGGATATGTAAAAGTGGAAAATTAATTTAAAGGGTTCTTAATATTTCAGAATTATAGAATGAGAACCATATGTAATTATTCACTACATTTATCTTAAATTATGTAAATACAATGTTGCTTTTAGTTTTTAACATACTTAGGAGTTTTTCTTTTCTTTTTTTTTTTCCGGAAAATTTAGTCAGGTTGACCCTATTGTGGCATCATTCTCTGGTGGAGCTGTTGGGGTGATCTCAGCATTGATGGTAGTTGAAATAAATAATGTAAAACAGCAGGAGCATAAAAGATGCAAGTACTGTCTTGGAACAGGTATGCATGTTGAAACACAAATTTAAGTCGCACATGCCTTTTAGTATCTTTGTTTGGCGTGGTTGAAAATTTTTAAAATGGTTGCTATGTTTTGCTTAATATCATGCTATACCCTCCAGGATTTTTTAATTCCTCAATTGTTATCTAATTGGCCAGACCCATAATCCTGGTGGAAAGTCTAACATATTCTTGGCTGCCAAATGGGTTGTCTTCATCATTCCTTGACTTCCCACAGGGATAGTTCCCCACTAACATCAACTTCCCGAATTAGAATGTTTACAATTTACCTTTTTGGTCAGCATGTTTTCTTTCTCTCTCAGAATATGACCAACAAACAACCTATGATTCAAGTCGATAATCTTTAATATTAGGACAGAGGAATGTACAGGGCACTTATAAACTGGTTATCTGATTGATGCAGGCTATCTTGCTTGTGCTCGCTGTTCAAGCTCAGGAGCACTTGTTCTAATTGAACCAGTCTCAACACGTAATGGCGGGGATCAGCCTCTGTCACCACCTAAAACTGAAAGATGCCCGAACTGTTCAGGAGCAGGAAAGGTTAGCTCCTGGAAATTTGGTTTCATATATTCAATTTTTGATTGATTGTATACTAGTGGGAGAATAGCTTTTCCTTGTGCTGGTATTAGGTATGTGGTCTAATACAATGTGTGTGAATTTTAACCTGTCTTTCGAAGTTTTTCAATTTGGGCTGGAGTTTTCTCATGCGCCTTTCTATTTTGTAGGTCATGTGCCCTACATGTCTTTGTACAGGGATGGCTATGGCAAGTGAGCACGACCCAAGGATTGACCCTTTTGACTAGAGATGCAGATGATTTTGCTTCTCCCTGTTGTTGGTTAAGATGTGATGCTTTTCTACTGCATTATATTTTTCACCTGGCTATTTTCTGTACATAATCTGCTCATTAAAATTATAACTTCCCACGCCCACGCCCACGCCCACATATGGTCCAGAATTAGTTTTTCTGCCGCCACGGACTCGCATTTTGAAAAACTATTTACCTTTTGTATGACCTCAATAATATATGTTATTTTTTATAGTAGGAGCAGTTTGCCACAAAAATGATGGAAGGCTGGTTCTGGTTCAGGTAATCCGTAAAAATGTACGCTACTTGATTGTTGCTATGAACGGCAAGGTCCCGAACAAAGTGGTAGATTGGTGTTAAAATTGGCTAATTCTATGCCAACAGATGTCATACAGTTGAAGGCACATCGATTCTAAGGAATAATTGGACATAAAACATCTGTAGATGCCTTCTAAGCGCACGTCAAACTCTAGTATTCAACTAGACAAGTGGTAAAAAAAAAAAAAAAAATATTAATACTTACTCTTTTGAACTTTCAGAAAAAATGGAGACATAACAGGTGAAATTGACAAAAAACTTTAACTATCAAAATTGATCATTAAATAATTAAATTGAAATAATTAAGAGTTCAAAAATCATTTTAAAACATAAAATTTGAATAATTATGATACTTACCCTTCAAATAAATATCTTAATTTAAATTAATGAACATAAATTATACACATGACGTCCAATGGTAAATCCCATCAGAAATAATATGGACCAGTAAAAAGTGACCAAGGATCACACCGTCAGTGTATAATTACAGTGGCCAAGGGCCATCTCTTTGTTACAGTGATTTATATTGTTCAATCAAATGAGAAGCATGGAGACGGGATGTGGGGACCACTGTGCACCCTAAATTCTTTAGATATCCGATCTGCCATTGAACAGGAGAAACATATAAAACAATTAGTTTGAAAAGAGTACGAAATATAATTCACCTCACCATTGTTCCATTGCAATAAAATGTAATTTTTGTTTTATTGTGGGAATAATCTTATTTTATACGCCAAAAGATTTAAGATTTCTCCTATCATATCTTCAAAGATTAAATTTTTCACATTATACTCTCAATATATTAAAAGAATTATAAAATGATCCTTTCATTAACATCTTTTACTTATTCTCTTAAAAATCACAACAACAAAATGAATAACCAAATAGTAATATTATTACATTTTTAGTACATTAAAAATAAAATAATTTTTAAAGGTACAAAGTGAAATTCACTCTTTATTGTTTCTAATAAGGTTGGGCATCTCAAATTAACACTAAAACTAGATAGAGATAATGACAAGGTAAATTTATCCAGAAAGTCCAAAAATTAATCCTAAAATCAATGGTCGGTGAGTAGAGTGAGCTTAAATCAACCAAAGGTGATCCTAATCTTCTAACGTATAATATAAGCTCACTCCGCTTTTTTTTAATATGCATTTATTGAACATGATATATCTATGGGGAATCGAATTGATAATAACCACTGGCCTTCATTGAAATTAATTCTATTTGCTATCGAAAAAGAGGAACGAAAATTGTTGCGTGGTTTCATCTATGAAACTGAGGGCTCAGGCCTGCAGTGCATTATTAGGAGCTGAAAACAAAGGTCTAAATCACAATTGCTTTGAGCTTTGTTAATATGTTGACGACGATGAACGTAAAGGCAGAAAAATATGCACATTTGTAGAAACGAAGTTCGAAAGAGTTCATGTAGTATTTATCTCATGAAGCTCTAGACACTCATCCTGATAAACTTAAACCATGAATTAATGACTAATCTAAAGTAGTTTTTAAACAAAATTATCAAACTACGATTTAAAAAAAAAAAAAGCAATGTCAATAGACCTGCTTTTGCTAAAAAGTGAGGTCAACAACGCCACTTTTAAGTTCAAACGTGTTCAATGCTTTGGTCGGAGATTGCTTCGACGGCACTTTTATTAAAATGTCGTAGTTTGATAATTTTGTTTCAAAACTGCCATAGATTGATACTTAATTCCTTAAACCATACCATGAATGAGTCTTCACCATAGAGGGGCACTTGCGAGATTCTGAATAAAATCAATGAGCGAATGTTGATTACCTGTTTAGAAGTAGCTGCTGATGAGCCCATTGCGTTCTCGATTCTTAGTTTTTGAAAATGTTCCTGAAAGAGGAAAAAAATAGAATAAATAGGACACTTACACTTATATCAAAGAAACATTATGGATAGATGCATGAAACAAAAAAAAAAAAGAAAAAAAATGCATCGTGTCTGTGATTGTATGTACGCAGTGTGCATTCTCGCATATACAATAAGCAAGAAAGACAATCAAATACAGATAACAATTACATCCATAATTTATACCTAGACAAAAATCGTAAGTTTAAAATTAACTTATGATCATACGCAACAATACCAAACTACTATAGGTACATTCGGTATTTCAGATTTATCAATTATATGCTTAATGTTTAGTATATTAGCAATTTTCTTGAAAAAGTCGATTGAAAAAAAATAATGAATGAATTTCTCATTGCATGAAAATGTTTTGTGCCACTTTACCTGTTTCTCCCTCATTAGATAAGCACGCCTATCAGAAGGAATTTGCACCCACTTTATAACCTTGTTGGGAAGAAGAAAAAAAATCATTAAAAAAGAACTCTGGACAATGGTTACAACTTTATTTTTGTGCACACTTTTGTTATAGCATAATAAAGGCAATAAGTATTCCCTCTGATGATAAGCCGCCATGTACTAAGCTTGGTGGGGGTGTTTTGATGCATATCATATACTTGCTACAACCAAAACTTTCCAAATTTTTAAGGTAAAACTTACATATTCAGCATAGTGAAATGCCTCATCACACCTTAAGTCGGACTTCAAAGCACGCAACACTTCCTGAAAAATTATGGAAGAGTCAATTATTTGGTAATCTAATTCTGAGTAGACATGCATGGGTAAGACCAAATGTCCGTGTATGTGCATGAGATTAACCTGAAGGAGAAAAAATCTAATTGTAGACACACCCCTAAGTTACAATCTTTGCGACTTTGCTTCAAGCAACACAGCAGAATTGTATTTACAAAGTTTACTATGCGATCATTAAATTATATTAATCCCACTGGACAGATCCTGTTAACTCCCAGGTGTCCTGTTCATTTAATTTCCAACTACACTTCCCATAGGGTTATTAGAGAGAGTTTGGGACTCCAGAAGGCACAGAGACAAAGACGTAAAAAACAGAATCAAATGGTCTAATTTCATATGGGGACACAGAGGAAGAAAAAGATGTATTTCACAAAAGACAAAGGATTAAGCCGCACAACCTTGTGTGTGCATTTCCGGCCTCTCATACGCTCGTCAATGACAAAGGCAACCTGTAAAAATTGTTGAATCAAACAAAAAGACAACCAGTAAATACAATTGCATGAAACATATACACTTACCAAAATCCCGTTGCATCACATTGTACTGCAATTTTGAAAGTGACTGAGAGAGTGAGCATAAACATACAATATTTCGTGTTCCTCTTGTACAGCCATATGTTTTGCTTGATAATCTTGTTTTGAATGTTCCATGTTATAATGAAATCATTAAGTTTTCGATTTCATCTATAATATTGTTAGCTACATTATATTGCCTTTAGGTAGGCCAGATAAAGAAGGGGATAACTACAAGCTCAAGCAATCTAGCCCCACAATCCGGCAAGAGATGAATTCACAACTTAAGTGAAAAAATGAAAACTCTCATACAGATGCCACATATGTAAGCAGCAACATTGTGAATGCATATCCCTTTTCAAGACCACTACCATGCACTACTGGAGAGAATGTCTCAATGCAGGAATTCCATCGGGGGAAGAGCCAAAGGCAACAAAATTGAAGGTTTTCCAAATGACTTCTTAAAACACAAACAAACAAGGAACAATATTCAAGTCAGTTTTGTTGATGGACGTCTACAACCAAATCCACATACAGCAAGAAAATTGCCTGTGCAGTATGCATAGGAAATGAAAAGACTTAAAGCACCATAAAGGCTGCAAAACATATTGCTAAGTCATAATTCTAAGCAACATAGTCACTGATGATAAAGAATATGCCTGATGAGTGTAATCAAAATGCTGGTTGTTATTTCCAATTTTGAATGAATACAAGTTTGAATAGTTTGACGAGAAAGAAATGGCAGGAAGTAAAATAAGGGAAAAATGGGACTCGAAAACAAAAGCAGACAACCAAAAAACGTCACCTTGGCTCAACTTTTTTTACCTATAATCTATATACTTTCATGCACAGAAGTAATTCCATGGTTAAATGGAGAGATGTATCTGAATAAATCAGTCCAACACATAGAAAGGAAATAGGAAAAAAATTGTGTCCTTCACATCAGCAGATCGTAGCAGAGCACAAAGGAAAAAATAAAGAAAAGTTGACTAAAACTCACCTTGTCAAGTAACCTATTTGGGTCTTGAAATGCTGCCTTCTTAGCCCATTGATGGAACAAATGGGAAACAACTGCACGGTCCTCCGTTCTAAATCTGCAAAATCATGATAGATAAATCAATAAAAAGGTAAGTCCTATTAGCGTAATAGTTAGAAATATTTTGCCTTTAATTCAAAATGCTACCCATCACATCAATATTTGGATAGAACCTTCTTAAAAAGCTATTTCCGTTGCAAGCCTCAATTCCCTCGACAGACACTTTGGATGCGTCATCTATATTAATAGAATCATTTAGCACCACATTCACTTCTGAAGATTCCATTTCCCTTGGTAGACCAGCATTAGACTCGGAAGTTGTTTTTTGAGGTTGCTGGTGATTTGTTTGCAAACTTCTTAAATTTAGATCACCCTACATAAGAATGGCCATCCACCAAGAAGATAAGCGATTAACGTCGAAAAGAATTCAAAAAGAAGCATTTGAATGTTGAGCATCACAGGAATTCAAAGTTAACACCATTTTGACTGCAAAAATGTATAAAAATGAAAGATTGAAATCAAAGGGCAAGTGATGTCTCCTCAGAAACAACAATGTGCGATATTTGGTCAAGGGAACCCGTGTATGGAATACTAATTCCTTCACTCATACTGTCAAACATCATTCGTTCTTCTGCAATTGGTTGTTTCACCAGTCCTGATATGCTGTTGTGCTTAAACAAGTACATCACTGAATCAACATCTTAGACATAATACTCAGTAAGGAACATCTAGCTTTGGAGTTTCCAACACATACTCAGCTGGAATGTTATCATGGTCCGCAAATACAGCAAGTGTACAAATACATGTCATGCATATTAGAGTTAACCAGATGCCAACAGGCAGAGTTTACGTATTTTCAAAAGTCTGAAGAAACAGAAAGTTTAACAATTTAATCGATTTGGCTTCTGCAAATGATTGGATGATCTCTATGAAACAGCTTCAGAAATAAAATTTGACCATGTCTACAGAAATACATGGATCCATGTAAAATTGAGCACCTGTAAATTTGCAAGTCTACATGATTATGGATCCATTTACTGTTGGAATCTGAAATATTTTGTGTGCTTAGTTTCTTTTTATTTTTTCACAGCCTCAACTATGCCTATTTTAAAACATCCTCTTACCGTTGGACCACCTTCAACCCGAACCATGTCATTTAATATTTAGGCTGCGCAACAGTTGGAATTCATAGCAGAAGAATAACAATAGAGAAAGTTCATAAAATCTGTACTATTTCCACTTCATGCAAATAAAAAATCAACCATTCACTTTTGCTGAAGACCAATAACTAAAATGATAGAGACCCAACCAGAAAAATCATCAAATACTCGATATCTGCCACTAGAAGTTGTATTAGAGGTTTCAAAAATTAAAATCAAAGAGAAGATTTTAGAAAACAGATGAGACAGAAGCTTTAACCATCATCTTTCTTACAAATAGATAGTAGTTATGTAATTGGCAAGCATGAGTTATATCCCATGCAAAACATTTGAGCCAAGAAATACATGGATCTTTATATATTTTTAGTACAACTCTAACGTTGACAACCCAAAATTTTGAAATTTGGTAGTAAAGCACACCTGAACCTCCTGAAGATGATCCGGAATTTCTCTTATAAAACGTGATGGTTGAAGAACCTGCAAGAGCCTAAATTGTCACCCAAACAGAACATTAAATGACCAATGGAGCATCAGAACACTGTTTTTCTAGTAATAAAAAAATGCCAACGACACGCCCTTTGAACTCATGACAATGTACACAATCACCCACAAACCACACATTGGGTAAGTCAAGGCTCTCTTTGGAGAATTATACGTGGGACTTCAAGGAAGTGACCCATGAAGTCTTCCCATCCAAGCTATTCACACATAGTACTAGGAAAATGTTTCGTAGATCTGACCTGCCAATTTGAATCCATAATAACATATAGGATGAAAAGCTTTTTCCGTGCTCGAGTCATCGCCACATATAACAAGCGTCGCTCCTCCTAAGATCACCGGAAGAAAATAAAAATTTTAGTATTTGAAAGAAGTTTTCCTTTACTAAGGCTAATATATGCAAAAAAAAATGATAACATTAAAGGCAAAGGAAATCCAAATACTGGATTGTGCTTACCTCAACTGAGGTACCATTTTCTTGTGCAACACCATTAAATTCATGCAACAAGGGAATCTCAGATTCATTTGCCTAAATCATGATCCAAGCATTAGTGCCACTTATAACAACTTCTAACCAGAAAAGTGGTTATAAGTTTTAGGAAAAGATTTTCTCAAGACCATTCAAAAAGCAAAGTATCAAGTAATTATAAAGTCAGACATCAATCCTCTATCACCACAAGTAGAGCTCAACAGTACTGTGATTTTGTGAGAAGTCTCTCCTTCAACATATTGCAAGTTAAAAACTATTTTCTCCAATCCGTTTTTAATATCCGTCTCCTTGCCAAATGTTTCAGAATGCATATTGTCAGTCCTATTTTGTTTCGAAAGTACATTCAACACCACACTCCAATATATTGTCTAAGTTCACTGGTTCCACCGAATACTCTATCTCTGACAAAGACCGTGTGAGTGTGCAGTTATGCTTCAGATGCTTCGCCATAGAATAGATTGACCCAGTTATCATTCTTTTCCGGTGCACTTGCTTTATATCTCCGACACACAAGGAAGGCCGTCGTGGTTCAAAGTATCAATCGATACCGATACCGATATGAGTTGATCAAGTTGTATCTGATTCGGCACCTTTCGAGACAATACCGTTACACGATACATATAAACCTTGAGTCTCGCACAATTCGACCGAGTCGTCTAAATTGTATCCGAGTCCCCAAGTTATTATCACCGAATTGGTAGATACTGTTCCGCAACGCTGCGATATGACCTAAATCTCTCATCATGTTTAACATTTTCTTTTAAGTCGTATCACCCTACACCACGACGCGATGCTGTGACCGATATATCTCAGAACTCTTCGAGTCGACAGCCAATACTGCGCTGAACCATGAAGGACATGTGAGAAGGAAGCAGCCCCAGCCTCTGGCCAATCATTCCTATACATTAACCAGTCACTTCAATCTAATTCCTGGACACAGATGAATAAACATTGGCTTCTCAAATTTAGGCAGCCCAAAAGACTTGAACCCACACTACTCTACCTCTGTTAAAGAGCATCTTGCGCTTCAAAAATGACCGTAAGGTTGAGATACTCTTCGTTGTAAAATGCATATGACTTTTTGTCTGACTAACTATTGTTTTGCCTTTTCAATTTATTGATAACAAGGCATTTTCTCCTCAATCAAATTATTAGGTGTTCAGTAGAGCAGGCAAATGAAATTTTGGCATCAATTTTGCACAAGATGGGTGCGGGAAACAAATATGTACAAGTCACTCCCGTAGTCCAGGCCAAATTTTCAAAGTGGTGTTTGGCCAAGTGGAATTACAGTTGAAATACAACATTGACTATAATAAGAAGTTAGTATGGGAAGGATAACTTCCATAATGACAGATGTTGAAAAGGTCAGCAGCAGAAATGGACACAGTGAAGTACCTTTACTATGAAAACACAGTCCCATTCTAAGCCTTTTGACTGCAAGGGAAGGTAAAGAAAGGGATTAAGAAGTAAAAAAGAAAAAAACAATACAAAAGCCTCCACAGACATCGGCTTGAAAAGAAATAGCCCACCCTGCAGGGCCCCGGGGCAAGAAACATGTGGCAGTTTAGTGAGTGGAAAAACCTGATGTATTGTAGTAAGAGTAACAGAATCTTCATTGTCATGTCTCCTGGAACGGAAATTTTCTCTCTCCCTTCCAGATATGTAATCAATAAAAGCTTCGAGTACATTAGTACAGCCTTTATCTTCTGCTAACATATCTCCTTTTCCTTGTACTGTGATATAATGTGTTGTTAGAAACTCAGAAACATCATCCAGCAAATATTGGAGCACCTGCACAGTGGGCCAACCAAATTCAGCATATTATACACAAACTGAACATTCAATGCACAATTAAAGAATGACAAGATGAGACTAATTAAATTTTGAGGCTAAAAATCCATCAGTCTGAAA